TTGAAAATATCCAGATCTACACTAAGAAAAATCTTCCACAAATAGATCCTGGAAAAACCAACATGTTTGCCCACTGTGGTTTGAATATTCTAATTCTGTCCAGTTGCATGTCTCTGTGAAAGCCATCATTAGATCGTTTTCTGTCCCATAGCAACCACTTTGTTTTCCCAGGGAAATAAAATATTTTTGCCTCCTCAGGCAATACCTTTCTCTGCGTGGTTCCCTAAATGAAGCTGTTTGTAATCCAAAGCTAACATCCCAATTTACACTGGTCTTCTCAGGGATTTATACCTATGGATGTGGAAAATAAAATGCTAGCCAGAGGCTTTTCTAACTCTATATATGTGTGCATGTCCACAGCAAGAGTGAAAATTCCACATCTTATATAGAAATAACAACATTTAATAACATTTCCTTATTTAAAATTACAGATTGAAGTTACTAATTTACATCATTAAACAATTATCTGGAAAAGAGCAATGGAGAGAAGAAAGAGGTATTGTTTTAACAGTCTGAAGGTGAAATGATAATTTATGTCTGAATTTACTGAGTGATAAGAAAGTAAATAATCCACCAGAGACTTTCAAGACATTTGAGAGGATCTTCCTGGAGCTGTCAGAGGCAACAATCTCATGGTAATCCATAAAATTCAGGGCTCCTGGCCACAGCCACCAGTTCTCCAATAAAGGTTCTCAGTTCTTTACCCCAGCTCTCCGTGGAGCTTTGTCTTTAAAAGGGTTTTTTAATTATTAAATCACACTAAAGTGACTATACCTATTTTAAATTATTCACTGATGCTGTTTCACTGTGCAAGTCACTGCTGAAATTCCCCACAGGCATTACACAGAAGCAAACATGGAGAGAAACACAGAGTGGAGTAAAAGCCACCACAGCAGTGGCAAAAAAACCCCACAGAAACAGAATTTGTATCACCCTGTGACTTGCTGTGATCACCTGGGAACTTGGGAGCTCTCCTGAACATTGTCTCCATTCAAACATAAAAGGATTACCATGAAAAAAGACCGCAAATTTTATTTTTTTCTTTAATTTGGTAATCCTATTACGTCTTTCCATGGCATCAAAATGTTGCTGATTTAAAGTTTAAGCAATGAGGGGCACTGGAACATGCAAAAAGTCTCCCGGGGAAAATTGAAATGAAAGATGGAAGGCTAAACAGGATGCAAACACCCACACAAAAACTCTGTAGGAAGAGAGTAAAAAAGAAAAATAAGATTCAACTGGCTGTTGTACTACTCCAGTTCTTTAGGAAATCATATTTCTCCACCTAAATTCTGAAAAATAAACACTGAGGTTAAAAAGGTAAAAAAAGCCAAGATGAAATGTTTCCAGCTCTATTTATCCAAGCTTTCTGAACCAGTACAGAAGGAAGGCTGGTAGGAATCAGTTTGTTCTCGTGGTACAATTTCAAATTTTTTGTCATTAAGCTTTAATGCAAGGCAAATACATGATCTGAACAGCATTTCAGTGATGATGCAACGTGATGGGTGCATTGCATAATGTCACAGGATATCAAAAGATGTGTCCTGGTGTAACCTCCCTCCCTCCCAGGGAAAAGCTCCTGAAGATGCAGGAGGCTCTTCACAGCCTGGGAGCCCTTACTGGGAAGTTGTCACTTGATTTCAATAATTGAGCAGGATTTGTGAGCACCCAGCCTCAGTGGGGTCCAAATGCTTCGTTATGAAACTTGGCTTCTGCCAGGCTCATCCCTCTCCTTCCTTTTCTTACAATTCCTGGCACATGAGCACGGGAAAGAAGGGGACAAAATTCCCTTCAGGCAAGTGCTGTGCTCCTTGCTCTGGGGGCTGGCCCCGAGCTGTGCTAATTAAAGCAGAGTCCCCCAGGAGGGTCTCACATTCCATCAGTCAGGGATGTCCTGGCACAGGGAGGGCTGATCTAAGAGCTCGCTGGGCTCACCAGCTAAGTCAAGCCTAGAGCAGCTCAAAGCTGGCAAGCAAATATAAATTAGTGGAAGCAGGGCAAGTAGTTTTGCAGATTGGTTTTCTGACCTGTTTTGCGTTTTTCATTTTCAATATTTTGTATGAATTCCTCTGCACATTCATCCTTTTAAGAATTTGATCAGCTCTCAATGTCTTTTTTTAATAGATGAAAGGCGATGCCACATGCTGTGTGTTTATGAACAATTTATCAGTTAAAGATGGAGCAGAATTAGGAACCCCTGAGATTTTAATTTCTTGTTAAGTAATTGTCGTGGCAGCTTCTGACAAGAACAGAAAAATGTCATAAAACTAAGCAGAGCTAAGCAGTCCTCAAGATAATTTCCAGCTTCTAATAAAACCAGAGCAGGTACACCTATACATTCCTTTACAAAGCCTGTAACCATGGTAGGAAAAGCAGCACAATTTGATTCTGACAACCTGTAATTCCTCATTATGCCACAGTTTGAATTAAAATTTTAAAAAATCTCCAAGGCCACTGCATTATAACTTTAAACCAAGAAATACAAAACCTAATCAAACAGCATTGAAAACTTCCTTCACCTTAGCTGGGGCTCGGGGGCAAGGCTTCAAACATTCCCATTCCAGCACAGCACCACTTTGGCTGAAATAACATTAAATGCATTGCAAATACATTGGGGAAGACTGGAGGAAGAAGTTCTAAGGGGAACTATGAGCACACAGTGGCAGGAGACTGGGGATTGACTGCCAGGTCTCCAGGATGGAGAACACCTTCCCACCTTGGGCAAAGAGCAGAGGACACTGCACGGGAATTCAGAGGATTGGCAAACTGAAATATTTTCATTAAAACACTGACTTCACCAAACCCTTCTCCAGACTGCCCTCATCTTCTCCAAAATCAAGAAAGGTGCTCTTTGAAATATCTAAACAGCTCGGAGTGGTGCAGGGCTGCAGAGGCAAATTAAAAGCTGTCAGCCCTATCAATACTGGAGTTTCCAGGCACTGTCACTCCTCATGAGCAGTCCAAAGGAATCTACATCCTGACAATTTCCTATAGCAACGTGGAACTACACACTGAGAAATTATTTCTTCCTTTCAGGCATAACACTGACAAGAGATAATAATTCATTTTTTTCTAACTGAATGTCTCTCCCTGGTTTAAGTGACTGATCTCCAAACAATAGAGAAGCAAATTATAATACACAGCAGTTATCCCATATGATTTATTCCTCTAAAATGTACTGTACAAGCATCAGGGAAAACAAGGAATCTGAATCATGTCTTACACTCATGATGGAAAACATACTGGCTAATCCATCCCTGTTGATTTTAAAAGTTTATTTGGGTTTTAAGAGAATTCTGAGTGAGGCTTTTGATGCTCCAACATGCATTTAAATTCTGGAAATAATTCCTTTGATCCAGAATCAAACACTCAGTTCCACTCACTTCTGGAACTCAGATCCACAAAGTGATAAAGTGGATTTAAAGTGTCAGAAGAGCAAATACCTCTAAAACAATACCAAGTATATTTAACATTCCCTTTATGCTTTTGATAATACTCAGCATGCTGAAAAATCTCCAATTTCCTGTTCTTTTCTAAAGAATTGGAAAGATTGTCTTTCAAGTTTTGAGAATTTAATTACTCTAAAATGGCTTCTGTCACTCACTGCACCATGAAAAATGGATATGCACATTCCCAGATGTCTGGACACATGTCCATGGAAAAGTGGGCTTGCTGTAGGCATACCACAGGAACTCTTTATGTAAGCTTTCCTCGTCTAAACTGTTCTTGACAAACATTTTACAGGAATAAATTTGAGCTTGTATGTTCTATAGCCATCCTCCCTGGAATTCTGCATGGCTCATGCAGACACCTTGCAAAAGCCAGAGCAGCATCAAGACCGTTGGCTCAATTAAATTCCAAAGCTGAGATGATCAATGCCCAAATTCCATAGACTTTGAGGAAAAAATAAGGACGGTTATTTTAAATATTTTTTTAAGTCCAGCCTACAGTGTTCAATGAAATTTGGAGTTGTTGCAAATCACAAAACATCAATACAGCAAAATACATCAAAAAAACATCAATAAAGCAAAGTAAAATAAATCTGTATATTAACAATAACTATTTCCATTAAAAGACACTGGGAAAAAATCCTATCTGTATTCATGGAAATAAAACATTCCCTTTTTTATGCAAAAGTTTTCCAACCACACCTGGCCTTTTTCTGCTGCACATTTACTGGTTTTCCCAGATAAAAAGGAAGGTAGGACTATATGGAGCAGCCTACCTGCACACAGAATCCTTGCTGAAGTGTCATCTGCAAGAAAACTGGGAGACAAGGTGCTCACCTGCATTATTTTTCCTTGACAATCTAAATATCCAGTACTCCTCACAGTAACACCACTTTTAAAATAAGAGAGTGTTTGCTCTCAAACATTTCAAGAAGTCACAGCCTCTTTGGCACAGGGACTGGGGTCATGCAGCATTTAATCACTTCTTGAAATAAGTTATTTTGTATATACTGGTGCAGTATAAAACGTTTTGGGAAGATTATTCTATTAATCACAATGAATATACTTAATTCACATTATTCCATCCACCTTGTCGAGGTTTCTCAAGGAATGTGGAGTTTGGAGTCATTCTGAGCCCAACATTTTTAACAGAACCATAGAATGGTTTGGGTTGGAAGGAATCTTCAGGATCATCTTGTTCCATGCCCCTGCCATGGGCAGGGACACCTTCAACAAGCCCAGGTTGCTCAGAGCCCCCTCCAACCTGGAACACTGCCAGGAATGGGGCAGCCACAGCTTCTCTGGGCATCCTGTGCCAGGGCCTGCCCACCTCACAGGGAGGAATTTTCTTCTACAAATCCTCTTTACTTACCACCAAGTTTAGCTCAAGTCAACAGATTATGGGTTTGTGAAGCGTTTCCTTTTGGGAAAGCTGTGCTCCTGAAGAATTCCATGTTTCATTGATTTCTCTTTACCAGCAGCAAGAGCACCAAAATCAGACCTTTCTACTACTGCCCCCAAAGAGAGAAACGACTGTGGTTGAACCCTTACCTGACAGCAATGGATTCCAGGGACTTCTACTTGGATATAGGAAGCTGGATCCTTTAAGAAGGGCAAAGGAATGAAGGCAACATCAAAAAGAAGTTAGGTGTCAGAATTCCATGTAAAGGGGAGAATTTGAAAGCAGAAACCCATAAAAGCAAAGCTCTTCTGATGGTATGATTTGAAAATGGAGGAATGGACAGAACAAACATTTAGAGGAGATGAGGAAGAAACTTTGCTTCCTCTTAGTTCCTCCTGCTCTTTCTATGAGGAAATGATAATGAGAGACTGGAAGGTCGGGAGGAGCATTAAATGGGATCAAGGCTGGCACAAGAAGGTGGCACAGGACTTGGAAGCCTGGAATATCTTAGTGATATAGCTGGAGCAAAGAAACGCTGCTTTGAGTGACAAATGTGCAGGTCAGGGACCAACATCTGCACAGGGGGACAAGGCACCAGCACAACGCCCTGCCCTGGAAGAGCAGCAGCACCAGCACAAAAAGAGCTCGCAAAGCACATGCTGCAATTATTTCAAACTTAAATCACAACCTCAACATGATTTCCCTCTGTTTCCTCTCTGTTATTCTTTGGTTGGGTTTTGAGAATTCGTATTTTACAACCAGAAACCAGCCCGAGATTTTCTCTGCCATTTTCAGCATTAAATGCCATAAGAAGTTCACAAAATACTTGTTGGGCTGGTTTTAAATATTTATTGCATTCTGTTATTGTAGCTATTAATCTGTATCTGCTTTTTAAGCAGCTGCACAACTCAGTGCCTTGTTTACTACACAGCCCTTACAGTTTCACACTCCTTCAATCTTTTATCTTATAAAACATCAGGCTAAGCTGAGTTTGAAAACATTATTTTACAAAATACTTTGCTACAGTTCATGTCTGTAATTCCAAGGAATATTGTTACAGTTGGGGAGTTTGGAAGAGTTCTGGTTTAGGAGACTGTTTTGTTCAGTGGCATGATTCCATATTTTAGGAAGCTCTTTTTAACCACACTCCCACAGGACTCTCATACTGAACACCATTACCTAAAGTACTTATTATGTTTAAAGCAGCCCTGGAAAGTTTCACATTTCACTGTTCCAATTAAATATTTTGTTTAAAACGGCCCATAAGTTTCAGAGTTTTGATATTTTAGGGATCCAATTATGATCTTGAATAAATGCCCTATAAATACAAGACTAACCACAAGCAAACAAGAACAACTGTTGTGCTTTAATTTTCTAGAAATCTGGAGCATCAAAGGGTATTTCTCCAATAAGCTGAAAAAGAAGAAAATATCTGCATAGTCCAAGACTGAAACAAGCGTACTGTAAGATACTTAAATGCTCCTTAATAAATTAATAAAGGAAAAAAAATTGAAGAGGTTTTTCTAATAAGTGGATCATGGTGAGCTAAAGTGTTATTTCAATTATTACAGCATTTAATGTGTTTAGCTCTACCTCCATGAAACATTTCACACAGTACACACAAAAACTGCCTCTACGTGTGCCCCAAGGCTGCTAGAGAAGGAAAGGATACTCCAAATTATTCCTCTGGGACATATTAAAGAGCAAGAAGGAGGAGTGAAAAGGAATCAGTGCTCTGAGCTGACAGGAGCAACAGAGAAATAAATAAAAATAAACCCTGTTCCTGATAATTTCCAGGAAGCTCAAGCAGCAGGTACAACAATGTGGCATTGAAATCTTGAGGGGGAGTCCCGAGGAAAATAAGCTTGTGCTGGGAAATTGGCAACTGGCTTTTTCATTCAAATAACAGGTAGTCAAGAGAAAAGAAGAGAAAAAGCAAACATTGCCAATATTTTGGCACTTGTAGGAGTTCTCCTAAAAAAGCATATCTAGGTTCTCTCCAGCTTTAACCTGAGAAAGAAATGCACATTAATGCTGCAAAGGAGCTGACACTTTTAATCTGCAGCCCACTCAGCCAAGGAACATCCACTTATATACCCTCATGCATTATTCAGCAGGAAAATTGAAATAATCTACCCGTGGTTAAGCAGCTCGGAAGCAAATGCAAATCAAGGGAAAGCAGTTGAGAACGAGGATCATTCACAACTCCTGACACTCCTCCACAAGACTGGAGCCTCCCGTGGGAGCAGCCGAGTCATTGCAGAGCCCGGGGCTGTGCCTGGGAATTGGCCCCTTACAAACACTGGCCTGTGCCCATGCTTGGAAAAGGAACTGGCTCAGCTTTTATTCAAATAGATTCTCACTCCTTGTCAGTGAAGGTGGGTGCTTGGGCACACACCTGAGAAAGTCTGAATTATTATTATTATTATTATTATTATTATTATTATTATTATTATTATTGTTACTATTATTATCATCATCATCATCGTCATCATTATCATTATTATCATTATTATCACTATTAATATCCCGTGATCATTCTAGCACTGGCTACAATCCTCTTTGTTCTTCACCTGACTTGTGAACATTTGGGCGTGCAAAATAAAATGATATACAAAATCTGCAGTAAGGGAAGAAGTTATTGCTGTCACCACCTTCCTTTTCAGTACTGAGATTTTATGGGAAATATCTTAGGCCTTGATTTACAGCAATTGTTTTATTATCTTTAGGAATATACATGAAGATCAGAAAGAATAAATTAATTTTTTTGCCTCCATCCCAGTCAGCTGTTTAGAAGTTATCCACCATTACTTACAGGCTAATGTGAACAGGAGAGGGATGCATAATTCTTGCAAGCTTATACAAATTACTCTGCATAAATTCTCCATGAAATCTACATAAATCTTATATCATGAAGTATTTCCACATGCCTAAATTTATTTTCATCGAGGTGGTTGTAAACACTCAGGTGGTTGTAAACTCCATGCATTAATGTTTTTTTATCAGAATTTAATAGTTTTAACCCCTGTGGTTTTAAGGAAAACCATTACAGTTTTGTTTGTGTTTCATTTTTCCCCCACAGATCTCCCACAGCAGAGAAGTTTTCAATTCAATGGAATTGGATGGAATTGGCTACTCTAGACCTGATTTCATGAAATTATGAAATTACAAAATGACAGAAAGCAGAAAACATTCCTGTCATAACCATAAAACTATGAAGTGTAAAATAATGAATAAAAAAGTAAAATAGGCCTCACCCCAGGTAACAAAAAAATCCTTTAGGGTTATATATTTTTGCAGTCCTTTCAGAAATGTACTTTACTATCAGATAGCCTAAAGAGAAAAAATCCCAAATTTCAGACATTCCAGGCACAATGCGAAAAAAATGTGTTCCTACATGCAGAATTTGTGATGAAAAATTGCTTCAGAAAGAATTTGGTGAGTTCAATCATTATTTCCCATGATGGATTTTGAGTTAAATTCCCTGTGCTGCAGTGATTCTGCAGCAGCAGACTCCACTCAGCCAAGGGAGCCCAGGACAGAGAGAACAGGGCTGGGCCCTTTTTATGGAAAGTCACCAAGACATTTTGAATGTTGATATAATCCACACCAGAACTGCCAAGGGGCCTTTTGGAAGATTTCCACAGAGATCTCCACTTTTCCCCAGGAAGCCCAAGCACATCCCCACAGAATGTTATCTCTCATTTGGTCCTTCAGAGGTGATGCTTCACTACAGACTTATAATAAATATTCCACACACTGGAGGTATTTCCTTGCCAAAAAATTACCCCTAAATTCCAGATCAACTGAAAGCTAAAAAAATACCTTGCAACAAGCTATTTATGTCAGTGGCACATTATAAACACGTCCTTAACATTAAACTGATTATTCATTTAGGTTGAATAATTAAAAATCTCCTCTGCTTCAATTGCTGACCCAGGATACAAAGCAATGGCATCCCAGAAATAAAGGAGATGAAATATGTAATTTTGCAAATACTTGAGAACTCTCTTTGCATTTAAACTAAAATGACCTTATCCTGAATTTTATGCAGTAAAAGAGAAAAACTTGAGTATCAGTCGACAGAGATCTGACTTTAATTTCAAATTTCACGTGGGTCAGTGCTAATTACACTGATTCTTTTCAAAATGTCTGCAGGGAAAACAAAACAGCACAAAAAAGTAGCCCTAATGGCTTTATTTTATACACAAGTAAATCTTGACTCTGTGTGTTCCATTTTACACGATTAAAAGATATTCAGCTTTACAGAAAATATCCTTTATTTAATGAGAGAAGACTGATCTGGATTTGATCACCCATTCCCATCTTGCCACATCAAGAGTAAGTAACTCTAAAATGTTATTTAACAACATACCAAAGCTATTTGAAAAGGACATCCAGCAGAGGTGACCTTGCATTCTCAAAGTCAAATTTTAAGAGTATTGACCAAAAAAACCAAAAAAATAAAAAACTTGCTAGAATTCTGAGACTTCTTTACCATGATATGATACTTGCCTGACCTTCCCTTATTGCCTGGGAGGAATTCAACCATAATGGGGAATTCAAGCCTCCACATTCATGTATTTTAATATTCATTGTTTTCCTATTTCTTTTTAGTTCCTGCAAAGCTTAATGGACTTGAGCATGATTACTAAAATGCTGTAAATAAAAAAATAAAAAATAAAAACAAAACTTGAAATATTTAAAAAAAATCAAAAAGTGGAGATGCAGTAAAGGGCATTCTAAAATTGGAGCCCGTTTTGTTGGGGATGGGAGCAAAGTGTCTGAGCCATATGCTGGTGTAACACAGGCACACGGGATATGAAGCTTATGTCATTGCAACTTGCTCCTTCAGAAAGCAGCTATGGCAGAAATAACCCCCAAGTTTTACATTTCAATTTACATTCAGCTCCAGATCAGCACCAATATTTGGATATCAGAAACCCATTCAAGTTCATCTTCCTGTGTCAAGAACGTGCTGTTACCAAATAATAAATATAAATAAATAGGTTTTAAACAACTCCTTACACCCAGCTTACTCCCCTTTTTTCACTTGGGCAGAAGACCAGAAGAGAAGCAGATTTTTTAAAATCTGCACAGTTATCTTTGAGATGGCATAGGACACAGTCCAGCCACTGCCAGGAAAAAAAAGAAAGATTTTGTGTTTTTTCTTCTCCAACAGGAAACCCAAACACACCCT